CCCCAAAACCCCAAAACCCCAAAACCCCAAAACCCCACAATGTCGTACCTGTGTTGATATTATAATATTTAAGCCATTTATACTCACTACCACTATGAAAGAGCAGCCGGGTAGCCAAGGGAAAATTAGTCCTTCATACGAGCCTTCCTATTATCTACTCTCAAGGAAGCAGAGATATGTGATCCCTCCAAAGCCTGAAGGGCTTGTTCGAGAGCCTTCTTCAAAAGCAAGATGGGTTGCATCTTACATGTCAACAATAGTAGGAGTGACTGTGACATCCCCTATCGAAGTCCTCAAAACCCGGATGCAAGTTCAAAATGATAAGCAGTACAAGGTAGAGATGTATAATAAAATACACAAATCTTACTCTAAAATCTGGAAACAGGAGGGGATTGCAGGGATGTTCAGAGGCTATAGAGCTGCTCTAATTTGAACTCCCATCTTCAATTCCTTCTACTTCCCTCTATACGAGAAATTGAGACTTACATTTGCTCAAAAATTCGAGCAAGATAAAAGCTCTTTGAGCGTAGTCTCTACTTCATGTGGAGTTGCTGGTCTATGTGCATCAATCTTGACAAACCCAATTTGGGTAATCAGGACAAGAATGATGGCTGAGGTCTTTAAGTCCCAAGGCAACCCTAACTATGAAATCAAGTATAAAAGCTTATTCGGATCACTCCGTCATGTTTGTAAAAAGGAAGGCCCACTTACTCTTTACACCGGTTTGATTGCGTCATTTCTTAACCTTTCTCACGTTTTGGTTTACTTCACGACCTACGAAAGTTTAAAAGTCTTCTTAAAAAGAGAGATTGAACCCGAAAAGCCTGCTCTGAGCTCCTACCTGATCTCACTGAGTGTCGTTATCAGCAAAATGTGAGCATCGATGGTGAGCTATCCGTCTGAACTAGTCCGTGCGCGCCAACACGACACTCGGAACCATGATGCAAGAGGAAACAGCTTCTTCAAAGTGGCGAAAAGGTCCTACAAGGCGCATGGGATCAGAGGATTCTACTCAGGTTTCTCCCTGAATTTACTGCGAATCCTACCCCAGAACATAATCGTATTCATGTTTTATGAAAAGTTGAGTCGTCTTCTGTCCGAAGAGTACGACCTGTAATCAATTCATATTAGTGAATAATATTGTTTCAAATTAGTTGACCCAACCTGGGGTTTTGGGGTTTTGGGGTTTTGGGGTTTTGGGGTTTTGGGGTTTTGGGGTTTTGGGG